TCTGATTGATCTAAGTTTGAAGTCAACTTTGTTAGAGATTAGTATGGCCACACCTGCTTGTTTCTTAAGTCCATTTGCTTGATAAGCCTTTTCCCAGCCCTTTACTCTGAGTAGGTGTCTGTCTTTGAGGTGTGTTTCTTGTAAACAGCAGAATGTTGTATCCTGTTTTCGTATCCAATCTCTTAGCCTGTGCCTTCTTATAGGTGAGTTGAGTCCATTGACATTAAGTGATATTAATGACCAGTGGTTGTTAACTCCGGTCATTTTTTTAGTTGTAGAGTTTGTGTGTTTCCCTTCTTTGATTTGTGTTGGTGAAGGGTCTCTAGATGTCTCTAGATGTCTGAGTTATTGTGGTCATTGTTGGACTCCTTGGTTAGTGATTTTCCTTCTATTACTTTCTGTAAGGCTGGATTTGTGGCTGCGTATTGTTTAAATTTGTTTTATCCTGGAAAATTTTATTTTCTCCATTTATAGTGAACAAAAGCTTGGCTGGGTATAGTAATCTGGGCTTGCATCCATGGTCTCTCAGTTTCTGCAGTACATCTATCCAGAACCTTCTGGCTTTCATGGTTTCCATGGAGAAGTCAGGTGTAAGTCTGATAGGTTTACCTTTATAAGTAATTTGGCCTTTTTCCTTTGCAGCTCTTAATATTCTTTCCTTATTCTGTATGCTTTGTGTTTTGATAATTATATGGCGAGGGTATGTTTTTTTTTGATCCAGCCTATTCGGTGTTCTGTATGCTTCTTGAACCTTCATAGGTATATCTTTCTTTAGGTTGGGAAAGTTTTCTTCTATAATTTTATTCAATATATTTTCTGGACCATTGAGCTGCACTTCTTCTCCTTCTTCTACTCCTATTATTCTTAGGTTTGGTCTTTTTATTGTGTCCCATATTTCCTGAATGTTTTGTGATGAGAGTTTGTTGGACTTGCTGTTTTCTTTGATCAGTGTGTTTATTTTCTCTATGGTATCTTCAGAATCAGAGATTCTTTCTTCTAACTCTTATATTCTGTTGGTTATGCTTGTTTCTGTAGACTCTGTTTGTTTACTTAAATTTTCCATGTCCAGCCGGCCCTCTGTTTGTGTTTTCTTCTTTGCCTCCATTTCAGTTTTCAAGTCTTGAACTGTTTCCATTATCTGTTTGATTGTTTTTCCTTGGTTTTCTACGGTATCATTCACTGATTTATTCAATTCTTCAAACTTTCTGTTATATTTCTCATCCATTTCTATAAGGGCGTTTTTTACATGTTGTTTAAGGGTGTCAGTCACTTTCATGAAGTCAATCTTTTCTACTTCTTCTTGATTAAGGTGTTCATGTCCTCCCGTTGTGAGGTAGCTGGTTTCTGGTGGCTTCATGTTGCTTTTCAACTTGTTGGGCAAATTCTTGCCTTGGCATCTGCCCATCTCTTCTTCCAAAGCTCCCTTATGGATCTTCTTTTACCGATCAGGTCTCCTTGCCTACCCAACGCTGGCTCTCCCCAACGTTGGCTCTCCTGGCGCCGAGAGATCAGGTCTCCGTGATGGTTGGGCAGCTCACAAACAAAGCGCCTACCCTGCTTGGTGCAGGCAGGCCCTAGAAACAAAGGAACTCCCGCCCCTTTGGGTGCCCCGAGGATTCGGACCCAGTGCCCAGACAGACTGGGCTGGGTGATGTTATATGCCGAAAGAGGGCGGTGGGGCCGAAGTGGGGAGTGTTCTGGATGGAAGCTGGGTGGGCTAGGAAGAAAGAGGCGGTATGCAGGGAGTAGAAGCCCTGCCGAGAGCCCAAGAAGGATAGGGGGCCAAGGAACCTCTGAGCTCCCCGTCCCAGGCTGGTGCCACGGTGCCAGAAACTCACCCCAACGCTGGCTCTCCTGGCGCCAAGAGATCAGGCCTCAGTGCTGGTTGGGCAGGTCGCAAACAAAGCGCCTACCTTGCTTGGTGCAGGCAGGCCATAGAAACAAAGTGAGTCTATCTACTTCTTTTGTGGAAGCAACCAACGGAGCCCCGGTCAAGAATTGGCATTTTTCAGGCCTCCAGGTACTAACTACCTTTCTCCTCCCCTTCCCCCAGTTGCACACTGGCCTCCTGTACATATGACTAGAGGCAGATCTGGAGCCAGTTGGAGATGCACAGAATCCATGAACGGGTCTGCCCTTCATGACCCCTGAACTTTGCCAAGAGTCCTCTGCATATAAGAGGATGCCTAAGGAATCCCCAAAGAGGTAGCAAAAGATGTGTAGACAGGTACATAGATGATGACCCTGACCGCTCCCTCCCCTCCCAAAACAAAAAGCACTGATAAATCTGTTAGCTACCGTTAGAGCCCCAGGACCAACCTCTGGGGGGTGAGGGTGGGGTTCTTCAGTTCTACTTCTCACACCTGGGAGGTCAGGGCAATGGTGAGCAGACACTGTTGGTGGGGAATGACTCAGAAGCACTGGAGTTGTCGAGTGTAGAATAGGCACATTCCTCCACTCTGAAAAAGGCCACTGCTAAGGTCTTGAGTCCTGGTGTGTCAGTCACAGGAGGCAGGGGAAAAAGATAAAAGAGGCTCCCTAAGAAAAACAGGGACTGCACTCAAAACCTGGCCAGGGTCTGCACGCCTTCTCTGTCTGGACCTGTATGTCTGCAAATGCGTTCCTACAAACCTTTCCCTTCCCTTTTTAATTGTATTATTAATTTGAGGGTATTATTTCTTTTCTGCCCGCACTCTGAGGGTTAATATTGTTTACAGTCTATTAGCTCAGGCTTCTTATTAACTAGCTCTTACAATTTAAAATAACCCATTTCTATTATTTTATATTTTACCATGAGACTTGGGACTTGTTACCTCATATCTTGCTTCTCTGGTGGCTGGTGTGGGAAATCCTTCTGTATATATGTTGCTTTTATTGGTTAATGAATAAAGAAGTTTCTTGGGCCTATGGCAGGATAGAATAGAACAAGACAGGAATTGCGAGCAGAGATAGAAAAGAAGGCAGAGTCGAATAGATACCATGCAGCTGCCAAAGGAGACGGATGCTCTGGAACCTTACCAGTAAACCATGAGCCTTGTGGTAAGATATAAAATAATAGGAACGGGTTAATTTAAGGTATAAGAGTTAGTTAATAAGAATTCTAAGCTAATAGGCCAAACAGTGTTTTAATTAATAGTTTCAGTGTGATTATTTTAGGTCTGAGCGGCTGGAAAACAAACGAGCAGCCTGTCTACAGGCGGCTGCTGGCATCTCTGACTCTGTCTTCTTTTCCCTTGTGTCTTTGCTTGGGTTTCCTGCCTGGCTCTATTCTGCCTGGCTATTGACCAAATAACCTTCTTTATTAACCATTGGCCATAAAACATACTCACAGGAAGATTTTAACTTTAACATAGTAAAATTACATATAACCAAACAGTTATCATACAAGAATTACAGTATAATATTTAGTTTATTTGTTTTTGGCAAAATTAAAGGAAATATTTTATTATCTATCCTATCTTTGTGAGCCTAACATTTTATATCTAATTTCTTTTGTCATAACTAGGAGAATTGTAACTAACTAGTCTTAAACTCCATTAATGACCCCAGAAGGATATAATAATACCTCTGTAAACTAGAAGTACATTGTAAGTAACTTCCAAAATTCTAGAAGTGATAGAAGTTCTTCTGTAACATTGGGTCATCCATGTTCAGCCTATAGGCCTAGAGGGTCTGGCAGACTTCTCAGTGAAGCAAGACATTTGAAATTGTCCTTTCTATATTGGCACTTTGTCAATCATTTTCTTTTGTGTCCTGCAGAATGTCTGGCAGGCTCTTCCATGAAACAGGAACCCTGAAGAACTATCCCATCTTGTTTTGCCAATTTCAGCAGTCACTTTTCTGTGTTATACAGCATGCTGTCAAACAGTCCAGTTGAGAGCACTTTCTTGCCCAAATGGCTACCTTGCCACAATGAAAACAAACTCCATAGGGAACTTCTTTGATGCCCATCATCCTCTTGAAGTAATTGATGCTGCCAGGAACAGATGTGTCTCACTGTCAAGAAAAGTCTAAATTCTTAGAACATTTTATATGCCATATTCTGTAGGTGTTTGAAGATTACCTATCCATCTGAAATATATCTCTGTATATCTAGAAAACCTAACTAATATGACTATAAGTTTGACTATTATAGATGACTACTAATTTGTTTTTTATCTGTTTTTTTTGTTTTTTTTATTTTATTTATTCTTTGGCAATTTCATACATAGATACAATGTATCTTGGTCATAGACACTTCCAATCCCTCTTCCCATTCCCCAACACATGCCCCTCCCATCTTCATGTCTTTTTTTTTTGTCTTTTTTAATTGTTTTTGTTTTTTGAGCTATACTTTTTTCTCTGCTCCTGTCCCTTCCTCCTCCTCCCCTCCTCTCCTTCCCATGACTCCCATGTGACTACTAATTTGTATTTCTTAGCTATATATTACATTTTAAATGAGCTGTATAAATATAATACCTTAACCAAGGGTAGAAATATACACAAAGTATAACAAAATTGACCTTAAATTTGTATCAATAAACCAAAATCCATCCCAATGTAAAGTATTTGAGATTAACAGGTTTTTTTGAATTAAAATAAATTTAATAATCTACCTTTCTAATTATTTTTATATCATAGTCCCATTTTTTTTCATAGTCCCATTTTTTAAAGGAAGAGATTAAATATGACCATTAATCATTTATAATCAATCTCCTTTAACAAACATTTATAAATAGTATTTTGGGAATTTGGTAGTAGTTTTCTACCAAACTACTACTTGCTCCTGCTTATTGGGAGCATTGGTAATGTTATGGGGATCCTGAGAAAGTTTGGGATTATGGGTAAATCTTAGCTGTACTAGTCTGTGAGGCTATATTGTCTCAGCCAGTTGCCTTGAAGCTGTTCTGGATGTTGGGTCACCTGGGCTATGATTCCCATTGGAGACCTCTCAGGGGTCTTACTTGATCAAACCATAGTCCTACCCCTCAGCCCCTTTTGTTCCTCATCTGTCATTACAGGGATCAGTGTCATTTGAGGACGTAGCTGTGGACTTCACGTGGCAGGAGTGGAAGAAGCTGGATGCTGCTCAGAGGACGCTCTACAGGGATGTGATGCTGGAGACCTACAGCAGCCTGGTGTTTGTGGGTGAGGCTAACCTCTGTAAACCTACTAGCTTTCTGCTTGGTGATAAGTGAGAGAACATGGCTCACTGCTCATAGTAAGTTGATAGGCATGTTAGGAGACACACTCCCATGCGTATTCATGTAGGACAGTGTGTCTTTGCGATACACTTGCTGGTGTGTAATAATCAGATGATGGTAGCTGGTGAGTCTGTCTGCTCAGATATCCTTTGTATGAGGATCATCTAAAACTTCCTGACAGCTGTTATGAAATACTCAGGTAGTTTGGCAGGTATATATTCACCAATGTACTACTGAGCACTCCAGGTTTCTCGTTCCTTCCAAAGGCACCCCAGTGGCTACACACATCTTTTTATCTGTGGCTTTCTCCTGCATCTTTTCCACACTCTAGTGACCAGTACTTGAGAGCGTTGTGGTAAATTATAGCTTGTAAGCCTGACGGGAACATGCCAGGTTCTGTTTCTGTGCCTGTCGCATTTTACTTATGTCCTCTGCCATTGCTGGGGAGACAGAATAAAAGCTCCGTGCATTTTTATCTATTTTGATGAATAAACGAGTTTCATCCAGCATACAGCAAAGATGAATCTCAAGCAGCTCCTACTGAAAACTCTGAACCCCGAGGATGAGCAGACACATTCCCTCACGGAATCTGTTGCGTGATTGTGTGAGTCTTGTGAGGGGGTGTTACCAGCCCCTTCTCCTTCATGGGAGACCTAGGTATCTGCTCTCTGGTTCTCCTTACCTCATTACCACCGCTGTGGCTAAGCCTCCTGCAGCTGAGAGCACAGCTGCAGCTCATTTCAGGCTATCCTGTCAATCACAAAACTCCCCTCCAGCTGTGTCCATGCCACCATGCCCATGCAGGTGTGTGTATGCCACATTCTCTCTACCACTTCTTTTGTTGAGCATCCCCGACTTGACTATGTATCGTGGGTTATGTGAATAGTGCTACAGCAATGAGGATGGTGCAAGTTTCTCTGCAAAAATGTCTATGCTTATTCACACACATACTTAACAGTGGGAGACTATTGCTATGTAGTATTTCCATATTTTGTTTCGTTTGTTTGACACAGGTCTCGTGTATGTCACACTGGATTTGTATTTCTTATATAGCACAGTTTGAATTTCTGATCTAGGAATCAAGTATGTGAGACCAGCGCTGGTTTATTTGGTGCTTAGACTGAAATCAGGACTTCTTGACTACTGGACAAGTGCCCTGATGATGAGCTACTTCTCCAGTCCCTGTATTTATATTTTAAGGAAACATAAAAATGTATTTCTTTCTTCTTTCTTTTTTTTCTTTTTTTTGGGGGGAGGGGGTTCAAGGCAGGTTTTCTCTGTGTAGTCCTGTCTGTCCTGGAACTCACTTTGTATACCGGGCTGGGCTTGAACTCACAGGCATCCACCTGCCTCTGCCTTTCATGCATTTCTTATTATCGATATTAATTTATATTCCTGGCATCAGATTCTGAAACTTCCAGTTGATTTTGTGTTTTGTTGGGAACTTGAAACCTTTGTTCACTGCATTATCACTGTCCAGGTTCAATTTTGCAGTTATTCTAATGGCCAAGTGCAAGGTCACAGTTAAGAACTCCGGGAAAATTTATGGCTGGTTCTTTTTAAAACCACTATCTCTGTCTAGGATGTCCTAAGTAGCATTTAAGTTGGATTTTTTTTTAAACTCTTTTAGAGACCAGCCATCCACCTCCCAAATAATCAGAAACTTATTCTAGTTGTGAATGTCCAGACTTAGCTTGGCTTATTTGTAGTTAGCTTTTCTTAACTCATATTATCCCTCCTACCTTTTCTCTCGGGGTTTTTACCTTTCCCCATTCTATTCCATTCTTTCCTTCTTACTCCATGGCTGGTTGTGTGGCTGGGAGTTTGGGCCCCTGGAATCTTGCTCTCCTTCTCCTCTCTTGTTCCTTTCTCATCTGTGTCTTCCTCAGCCTAGATTTCTCCTTTTTATTCTCTCTACAGACCAGTCCCACCTATCCTTTCTCCTGCCTAGCTATTAGCCAGACAGCTCTTCATTAGACCAATCCGGTGTTTTAGGTAGGCAAAGTGACACAGCTTTACAGAGTTAAATGAATGCAACATAAAAGAATGCAACTCATCTTTGCATCACCAAACAAATGTTCCACAGCACAGATGAATATAGCACAGTTTAAATAATATTCTGCATCAAAACTGTCTTTCCAGCTTCATCTTTTTGTTTCCTCTTGTCATCTGCTTATTGAAATTTTAAAAATTATGTTGCATAATTTACTGTGTATTGTGTTGCTTGGGAGTAATATTCCAAAGACTAAAGAACATGAGTGTAAAACTAGCAAATTTGAATGCATTAACCATAATGCAAATCAAAAAATGGGGTTGTTTTCTTCTTTCTTCAGTGGACTTGACAGTACTCTGACGCCATGTCTGTATGATTCCCTGTTTGCAGGGCACTGCACAGCCAAACCTGAGTTGATCATTAAGTTGGAGCATGGATTTGGGCCTTGGAGTAAAGCAGAAGCCTCAGTCTGGAACTTTCCAGGTCTGTGCATGAATACTGGATAAAGGAGATGAGCCGGAAGAGAGATAGCTGGCTGCTGGTCTTAGTGTGCTGTTTTCACCATTGCTGAGGACAGCTGGGCATGGGAACCAGACCCATGACTTTTGCAGTCCTTAGAGAGTTCTCCCTTTTGAGCCACTTCACTGGTTTTGTTGAAGGGAAAATTTATATCTATGTATTTATATTTTCAACAAATATGTATGTATGTGTATGTATGTATGTGTGTGTATGTATGTGTGTGTGTATGTATGTATGTGTGTATGTATGTATGTGTGTATGTATGTATGTATGTGTGCATGTATGTATGTGTGTATGTATGTGTGTATGTATGTGTGTATGTATGTGTATGTATGCGTGTGTGTATATATGTATGTATGTGTGTATGTATGTATGTGTGTGTATGAATGTATTTATGTGTGTGTGTGTGTGTGTGTGTGTGTATGTATGTATGTATGTATGTGGGGTTTTGTTTAATTGGTTGGTTGATTGCTTTTTCGTCTTCATGACAGGGTTTCACTGTGTAACAACACTACCTGTCCTGGATCTCACTCTGTAGGCCACGATGACTTTGAACTCACAGAGATCTTCCTGCCTCTGTCCCCTGAGTGCTGGGAATAAAGGCATTCACCACCACTGTCCGATGGAAAACAAAATACACATACACACACACAGAGAGAGAGAAAGAGAAAGAGAGAGAGAGAGAGAGAGAGAGAGAGACTGACTTAAAAATAAGACTGAATAACAACAATAATAACAACAAGATCCTGAAAAACTTGAGAGGCTAGCTACGTTGGTGAGTTCTCCTCTTGGGTAGGAGAACCAAAGTCATAGACCTAAAAACTGCAGACGAGCATTCCTCAGTGGAGGAGGTAACAGTGTTCTGACCATTGAGTCAAGCAATGTGAATCAAGCATTGTGGCTTACTCTATAGCAGCAGCCTGGCCTTGGAGAAGAAACTGGTTACATTTAAGTCACATCTCTTGGAATTCTAAAACCAGACATCCTGTGCTCTAAGAACCTGGAGAGAAATCATCACCAGTCAGAGATGCTGTGGACACCGACAGTTCCTATGTTATTTGTTTGTTTGGGTTTCCTTTGTCCAAGAGCAGCCATGGAAACTGAAAGTGCAGATGCTCACGGTGCCTGAGGTGTGTAAGGTTTAACGTGTCTGACCGTGGAGGCCCGAGTCTGATACCCGAAATCGTCCTTAATCACTCTTCTTCGTCATCCGTTAAGGTCTCTTGCCAGCTCCCCCTAAGGTTCTTTTGTCGCTTTCTGATCCTGTAAATCCAATGTTTAATCTAGTCTGCCTGAATTATGGAAATCTGAACTCCAGTTCTCATGCATGCATGGCCAGCACTTGTGCCACTGCGCCATCTCTCCAGCCAGAGCTATACTCATTTATTTAAGAATTACATTGTCAGCCGGGTGGTGGTAGCACACATCTTTAAGCCCAGCACTTGGATGGAAGGCAGAAGCAGGCAGATCTCTCTGAGTTCCGGGAGTTTCAGGACAGCCAGGGATACATAAAAAGACCCCGTCTCAAAACAAACAAACAAAAGAAAGAATAGATTGTCATATCCAATGTTGCTATGAAATTTACATGAGGGAACTGAGGGACTATATGTTTCAGTTCATAAATAATATGGTTATTCATGGATACTGATATTTTTATGTTATTTTAGATGTTCGAAAAGCACGTGTTCCAATTGAGACCATCCAGGAAAAGGAAGAGAGGCATTTGTGTGAAGAGAAAACCACCAGTAGCAATATATCTAATGAAGAAGGGGCTGAAGTAAGTAAAATTTTTATTGTGGACACAGACTACTTGTAATCTGAACATTAAGAGTGGAAATGTTTGGGGAGGTTTCCTGTAAATCTTTCTCCTGTCGAAATGTACTACTTCTCCATACTAAGCCCTATACCATATAGGCTCGAAACGAGCCCAGTGATAGTAACTGAGAAACTCCTCCCATATGTTGTATATCTTAGTCTCTGTAGCAAGGGGGAAAGAGCATCCTGCCATATTTGACCAGGAATATCTTTCTACACAAAGGAAATATTCAATGGAGGAACTTTATATTCAAGAAACCTCTGGCTTTTTCAGGGAATTTTTCAAATCTTTTGTTAAATAGCACTTATTGTTCAAGACACAGTTTGTTTAGGATGAAACATATCCGATGAAAAATGAGGTTTCATGTTAAAAATAATCACACCTCACAAAACATTAGGAAGCCAAGTTAGGACAATGTGTACAATGAATAAAACAAATTTTTCTGCCTTAAGGCACAACTAAAGGTTCAACAGAAAATACACCAAGGAGAAAAGGCAGATTCCTGTGTGGAAACATCCTGCCAAAGGCCACAGCACAAGAAGAGTCAGACGTGTGGGAAACACTATGACTGTGGGGACTGTCATGAAGCTGTCCATGGCAAGTCACCACCCACAGAACACCAGAGAACGCAGACTAAAGAGAAGACCTATGAGTGCAAAGAGTGCCGGAAAGAGTTCTGCCACAAGTCACATCTCTTTCGACATCAGAAAACTCATACAGGCAAGAAGCCCTTTGAATGTGACGAATGCCAAAAAGCTTTCTCCCACAAGTGCCATCTCGTCCAACACCAGAGAATTCATACCGGGGAGAGGCCCTACGAGTGTAAAGAGTGTAAGAAAGCCTTCCGCCGCCAGTGGCTTCTGACTCTACATCAGAGGACTCACACAGGAGAGAAGCCTTATGGGTGTAAAGAATGCAGGAAAGCTTTCTTCTACAAGTCCCACCTCACTCGACACCAGAGAACCCATACAGGCGAGAAGCCCTACGAATGTAATGAGTGCAAGAAAGCTTTCTGGCAGAAATCAAACCTTACTGCACACCAGAGAATCCATACCGGTGAGAAGCCCTACGAATGTAAAGTGTGCAAGAACGCTTTCTACAACAAGTCAAACCTCACTCTGCATCAGCGAACTCACACGGGTGAGAAGCCCTATCAGTGTAAAGAGTGCTGGAAAGCTTTCTACAGCAAATCAAAACTCAGCCGCCACCAGGCAACTCACACAGGTAAGGAACCTTACTAATGTAAACAATGCAGAAAAGCTTTTCCATGGGACTCATTTCTCTCTCAGAATCAGATTGCATTCAAGTGAGAAGCACTGAGAGCTTAAGGGGAAGTTTGTAGTTTAAATCTGCCCTCTTTGCACCTCACTGAACTCAAGTAGGCAAGCTCTGGGAACATAAAGAATGCGTTAAATGTTTCTACTGTATCTCTGGTCTCTCTTCCTGAGTGACTCATATGAGAAACCCTAGGTATTGCATAAAACCTGTTGTGTACTGTTGGTCCTCACTTGAAGTCAGAGATTGCATGCAGGTGAGACTGGTGAATGTAAAGAATGTTGAAAATGTTCTTCCACAAGCCAGGTCTTAACTCTAGGGAACACATACTGGTGCAACTTCCTAGGACTGTAAATGGCTTCTTTCTGCATATTCAATGCATACATGTGAAATACCATTTGAATTGAAGGACTGTAAGAATGGTTGTATAATTAATGGAGCCTCAGTTGATTTGACTTCAAGATATACAAGGAGGTTAGTAGCCCTGTGAATTTAATGATTACAAGGTTTTCTAATATGAAACATTGTCACAGTTATTAAAAGCTCACACAGATGGGGGATTCTCTAAGTAAAAACCAGAAAACACCCAGAAGAATTCAGACCTCAAACTATGTGAGTATACATCGAGTATATACAGACGTGAGAGTAAGTGTACAGCAGATCATTTACCCGGTTCATACTGGGTAACTTGCTTTTCACCTTGCCCATTTTGGGTGCTGGCGCACAAGTTCAGGGCAGTGTTGGGCTCTAAAGCTTGTGGGAGGGAGCATTAGAGCGCAGGGCTGTGAGAATTCCATAGAAAGTGGTTGATGAGGGGCCTCTGAGTCCCAGGTGGTGGTGGAGGGGCCTTGCATTCCAGGAAATGGATGTGTAAACTTTAGAACTTGCGTGAGGTGGGGACGAGAGGCCCTTTTAGTTAACTTTTATGCACCATACTAGTATTAGCTTGGAGACCATAGCCTTTGTCCTGTTTGTAGAATCAGCTATGAGGATGGAGAAAAATACAGCTGCAAGTGGGAATGACCTGTTTGGTGTCTGTCTAGATTCTAACAAATGTGTATCATCGGTTACTCATCTGTCAGCATAAAAACTACAAAAATGATAAAGTATTTATGATGTAGAAAACAACAAAACACAACAAAACAAAAAATTCCTGTAGGGGAGTATTTGGAGAGTACTATGACCAGAATGCAGTTAAGATTTGAATCTACATGATCCACATCTGTCTTCTGTAATTTCTCTTCAATCAAAGTCAATTCTCTTTCAGTTTCAGCTAATAATTCCCTGGGACTTTTAGGCCCTTGTTGCCATCTAAGGTTTTGTTTAAATGAATTAGTTCATCAGGTTTTACCCCAATAGTGAGCTGTAACTGGGAAATGTCTTCTAGCAATCTTTGGAAGTCATTAAGAGTTTGCAGTCAATCTCTCCTAATTTGCACCTTTTGGGTCTAATTTTCTGTAATCCAAATTTATAGCAGGAGTCCAGTTAGCTATAACAGAGCCTCTGCCATTTGGCAATTTCTGTAAGGGTATATCAAGGTTGGCTGTCTGAAAATCCTATACTGTTCCCCTCTATATAATGCAATCCTGAAACTGGCTCTCCATTAACTTCTTCTGTCTGGGTTTGAACCTTTCTGCGATCTGTTTTATTAGATTTTTCCAAGTCCTGCATCTTAGCACTCAGATTAATCAACTTTTTGGTGATATGACAAAAACTATAATGCTGACAATATTTACAATTGATGTTCCATAAATCCCATCTAAATTAGATATCCTCTCCTTTAATTGATCCGTTTTTAAACTGTCTAACATATTATCATACAGAGACCCAAACTCCTCTATTCTAACATATTATCATACAGAGACCCAAACTCCTCTATTCTAACATATTATCATACAGAGACCCAAACTCCTATATTCTAACATATTATCATACAGAGACCCAAACTCCTATATTCTAACATATTATCATACAGAGACCCAAACTCCTCTATTCTAACATATTATCATACAGAGACCCAAATTCTTCTATTATAATAGTTTTTCTCATTTTTTAATGTGTTGGGGGATACTCTCTGTTTTAACTAATTCCTCCCTTTAAGAATTCCCAATTATCTTACCAAATTTACCAACAATGTTGATGAAGATATGAGGCTGATTATTGCTGCGTAGAACCGTAGAAGCCTGACTGGATTTCAAGGCAGTTACCGAGTTTGTCAGCAGACCAAGAAGGGGGTTCAGGAGAGCCTGCAACCCACAGTGGAGAGGTGGCGCTGGAGCCCACGTGCAGCCCCAGTCTGTTGGTGGTGCCTCAGGCAAATGGCTTTTTCATGAATTCATACCCCAAATGTTGGGTGCCAATTGTAGCACAAATAATAAAAACCCAGAGACAGAAATTGGGGTTCAACCTAAAAACCAGAAAAACAAGGCAGCCAAGCTACTGGAAAAGTCTCACCTCTACCAAGACCGGGTGCAAACTAACCAACTAAACCCCTCTCTCCTCCCATCTTATATTCCTTCTAGTGCTGGGATTAAAGATGTAGGTCACCAACGCCTGGGTTTGTTTCTGCATTGATCTTGTGTAGCCCAGGGTAGCCTTGAACTCACAGAGCTCTATCTGCCTCTCTCTCCCAAATCCTGGGATTAAAGGTGTGTCACCATTACCTGACCTCTACTGGCTTTACCTTTGCCTCTGATATCCAGGCAAGATTTGTTTATGAAAATACAGATAATATACCATTATAAGCTCTGTTTCTCTTTTAGACATATTCAATCTCAGGTAGCACAAGGTGGCCTTGAACTCACTGAGATCTGTCTGCCTCTGTCTCCCACGTGCTGGGATTAAAAGTATGTGACACCATTGCCTGGCATCTATGACTAGTTAGTGGCTTAGCTCCCCGTTCTGATATCCAGTCAAGCTTTATCTGTTAGATCCCAAACAAAATATCAGTATAGCTGTCAAGATTGACAACATAAATGAATCTCCTGGGCCTCTGTGTCAGAAGATAGGCAGCCCACATAAGTTGCCGTTTAGCCTCTACGTGCACACTGTAGTTCATGCACGCTCACATACCTGTGCATATACTACATAAATCAAAATGAAGAAAAAAAGAAAGAAAATGCATTTGAAATGATAGCGTTTATTTTTCTGGACATTTACCCAGTTAAAGTTTACTTACCAAATTTGTGTTGCTTGTCTCTTTTATATTAAAATTTCCATACCAGTGATGACCAATGGGGTGACCACCTGAGTTTAATCCTCAGGACCCATGTGTAAGGAGAAAACTACTTCTTCACATGTACATCATAGTATGGGCATCCATGCATTTAACATACTTATTCAACATAATGATATTCTATTATCTGTAGAGCAATCATGTAAGAAATTGCACCGAATTTAGAATATGTCATTAGGCAATTTTAGCTTGCCCCCTTCCCCAATCAACCAGTGGTGGTTGTGTTTGCCTTTAATCCCAGCTCTTGGGAGGCAGAGGCAGGTAGAGCTCTTATTTTAAGGCCAGCCTGGTCTACAAAGGGACTTCCAGGACAACCAGGGCTACACAGAGAAACCCTGCTGCCATTGCTAGTGATTTATTTTTAAGTACAGTATCTATCTAAAGCCCCATTGTTTGGTACTAAACATTGTAGTCAGAGCTATCCTAGTATTCATGTTCCTCCTGATGAGACCTGCCAGCGACCAGTGCCCATACAATTCAAGATGAAACAGAACCAAGGGACTCAAAGCTGAGCTGCTCAGAAGTGCCTTTACTGACATTCTGTGACACTTATTCTGGATAGCAGGCAGACGTGGTGCTGAAGCCGGTAGCTGAGAGCTTACATTCTTATCTGCAAGTAAGAGGCACAAAGAGAACACTAACTGGGAATAATGTGAGCTTTTGAAACTTCAAAGCCCACCCCCAGTGACACACCTTCTCCAACAAGGTCACACCTCTTAATCCTTCCCAAATAGTTCAATTGAGTAGAGACCACATATTCAAACGTAGAAGCCTATTGGGGCCATTCTTATTCAAACCGACACAAATATTTTTTGTATACACAGCTGTGGCTATTTTAGGCAGGCATAGCTGGATTTTCATTGTTTTTATTTTTTGAGGCAGTGTTTCCTCTGTGTAGCCCTGACTGTCATAGAACTTGCTCTGTAGACCAGACAGGCCTTGAAGTCACAGAGATCCGCCTGATTCTGCCTTCTGAGTGCTGGGATTAAAGGAATGCACCACCACTGCTAGGCTACAGCTGAAGTTATTAATGAGAGATTTTTAAGCAGGATTTTTTTTTCTTGACTATGAACATACATCATTAACTGTTTTTTTAAGCACACAGCATCTTCCTTAGGTTTTTGTTTGTTTGTTTCTCCCTGTCACAGAATCAGAGGGTCAGCCTGACCCACGACAGGGACTAGGAAGACCACTTTGAAATAATCATGCTTGGGTCTTGAGTGTGCAGACCAGATCTGTCTCAGAAGCAGCTTTTCAGTGAGCTGATAATACCAGACACCTAAAGAATTTAGGAAGTAGTACCACCGGTGTCTTTATGAATGAAAGAAGGAACAGAAGCAGATGTATCCAGGCTTGGTAAGGCATAAACTAAGGTGTGGTAAGCTTTCTCATCGTCCTTTATTTGGACCCCCAGCCCCCAAATAATGACACTGAGACTAGCATTGGCTATGAATGCTTGGCCTTAGCCTTGACTTGCACAGAACTAGCTCTTCTAACTTAAATTAACCTGTTTCTATTGATCTGCTGATTGCCATGTGGCTCTTTATCTCTTCTCCATTGCATACATTCAACTCCCTCCATGTCTCACTGGTGAAAAACACATGCCTAGATTCATTCCTTCAGTTCCTCTGTCTGCCTGAAAGTCCTGCCTAACCCCTCCTGCCTAGCTGTTGACTGTTCAGCTTTTTATTAAACCAATCACAACAACACATCTTCACACAGCGTAAAAATATCCCACAGCACAAAGGCAAAGCACAGGCGTAATGCAAAGAGTCCCAAGAACACAAATATCCGGTCTTAGTGGAAACAGGCTTGGAGACAAATGTCATCATGGACACAGGCTCCTGTGTAAGCTTCTCAATTGCCCTTAGCTGTTGGAACTGTGGATACAGTCTGTTGACATTCTCTGCTAGTATTGTCAAAGGCCAGCATTTCTAATAATATCTCTCTAAGATCAGGTTGAGAAACAGTCTCTTCATGCTGCCAAGTCCTGAAATGAAGGGATTCAGCACGTTCAAACAAGTCCTGCTGTAGTAGTTAGTTCTAATGCTCTGAAGAAACACCACGATTATGGCAGCTCTTATAAAGGAAAGCATTTAAAACTTTAATTGAGGAGGTGGCTTACAGTTCAGTGTTTCAGTCCATTATCATCATGGCAGGGAGCATAGCCACTTGTAGGCCGATGTGGTGCTGGCTACATCTTGATCCAAAGGCAACAGGAGATGGACTGAGACAGTAGGGGGTGTCCTGAGCATAGAAAACCTCAAAGCCTGTCCCCACAGTGACACACTTCCTTCTACAAGGCCATACAAACATACACACTCCAACAAAGCCACACCTTCTAATAGTGCCACTTCCTATGGCATTTAGGGGGCCAGTTACATTCAAACTACTATACCTGGCCAGCTTGCCCCAGTCATGGGAGATCCATTGCTCTGTTTCAGCTATCCCTCTCAACAATCCCATCATACTTGAATATGTAAGTCTGTAATAAAAGGATGTGGCTTGTTTAAAATTCCTAAGTATTTTATAGGGTATAGGCTTCTATTCTGCATGTATTCCTCCTGAAGAAAATTATCAACTCTCAGTATAAAGGGCTAGAAGTCACCAGGGCCACAGGAGAGGAGGTCAGGTGTGCCTCCAAACCCCCCTTACTTTTGAGTTTACCAATTCCCTGGGCTGATGCAGGAGCACAGGGATGCAGAGGAGCAGCTAGCAGGGAACTTTTCATCTCTGAATCATCAAAAGAGGCAGAAGACTGGAAAGTAGGAAGAGCCAAGGGATTAGGATGGGGCTCATGTGCACATCTTTTCTCTCTCTGAAGGGGTTAGCTGTCCCATTTTGTCTCCTTCTACAAGGATCACCTGCAGTGGCTGAATACTTCCATCCAAAGATTAGAAGGAGACCAGACATTTAAGGGGCTCACTACGCCCGGCCGATTAGCCTGTTTTAAACAGCACAAATACCTTCCTGATGCTTTCTGGACAATGTTCCCTGTGCTGGACGCCAATCACAGTATTTGTCTATATAACAAAGATCACAGAAATCTTGTTTTTGTACTTTTGATGAAAAAGAAACTTGCCTGGTGGTGGTGTACACCTTTAGTCCCAGCACTCAGGAGATAGAGGCAGGCAGATCTCTGAGTTCTGAGTTCTTCAAGTTCAGCCTGGTCTGCAGAGTAAGTTCTAGGACAGCCAGCCAGGGCTATACAGAGAAACTCTGTCTTGAAAAATAAAACAAAACAAAACAAAAAAAAGAAAGAAAGAAAAAAGTCAAAGAAAGAGGAAGAAAAAATAGTAAAATTGATGCTAGAAATGACGTGTTAATAGACATGCTTAGGAAACATTAAGTCATACAAGTAGAATTTAGCTAGAAGAAAACTGCCCCCCAAATTCTCCGAAGGTTAGTTTGCCAACCAGGCCTGTCAGAAATAAGGGAACTATAGGATGCTAGGGTGTGGATGTTTGTTTAGCAGGGCTGAGCAGCCATTGTACTCTATTCCCAAGACTAAAGAAACAGCTCTGTCTTAAATTCAGCCATTAGACCCTGATTACCATAACCAAAGATTCTGAAGGGCAGCTCTGGGAGGCAGCATAGGCTCACAACTGTGCCATTAAGTCTCCTGTTCTCTTATCAGAAAAGCATAATTCTTCCAGGTAGACAAGATGACCCTTGTAACAACTATTTCAGAAAAAAAAAATTAAGCCAGGCCATGGTGGTGCAAACCTTTAATCCAAGCACTCGAGAGGCAGGGGCAGGTGGAGCTATGTGAGTTTGAGGCCAGCCTGGTCTACAAGAGCTAATTCCAGGACAGGCTCCAAAGCTACAGAGAAACCCTGTCTTGAAAAAACAAACAAACAAAAACTTAAAGGACAACACTGGCATGCTTAAAACAATCCTGGGAAATACAGAAGATCCATGCTGTGTAAATGTCCTGTCTGCCTAAGTGGTCAAGTTTGCAGTCTCCTGTCTCTGTTTATATTGAAGTTTGGCCTGGGACCAAAACAGACTTATGGGTGACAGTGTTCGTGGAATACATAATCCTGAAGTATATGTGCACTAGTAAATTCTTTTGTTCGTGTCCAACTCTCCTTAGGCATTAGCCCAGCTAAACAAACACTATCATAGAGCTTTTCCTTAAATAAATTGTTCCTCACTGGCTTAATGAGTTAACAGAAGTGGTTGCTGACGTCTGTGCTGCTGTACCCGCCGTGGCTCTTATGATGGAACAATTGATGGAAGCAGTGAGGGCTTTCCATTACTGTTGACTTTGCCTGAGATCAAATGCCTTTGTTTGGAATGGATGATGGTGAGCCCTCAGGGATCCTGTCTACACCTTTGCATGTCCTAACCCAGAAGCACAATTAAGATAAAAGTTAAAGTATTTAGTTAAAAGGCACACCTTTTAAGACTTAATGTGGCTGGATAAAGTGTCCACTGTCAGAACTCTCTGATCAGGAAGGTCCCAGAGTCCCCCAAACAGTAAGGGCTACTGTCACTGCTATGACATGTACACCAGAACTATGTGGTGAAACCCAGTTGCTGAAGATGACACACGCTTTGGTTGCAGAACTCAGGAAAATAAAAGTGAGATGGAACTGGGTAGTGCCCGGAGGCTCCGTGCTGGCTGCTTGGCTGTGTGCTAGGCAAGGTGCCTGCTAGTGCCCAGGTGGCGTGACAGCTTTCTGATTGGATTTTAGGGCTACCCCGCAGGCAGGAACTCTTGTCCGCTACTGTAAGCCGGGGGTAAAGCCCATGGGTAAGGAGTCACAGGTCTCTGTGGGCAAACGACTGCTATTGTTTTGTTGAGTGGGTGTGACCTTATCAAACTGTCTCCTGCATATTTGTGCTTTGCCCATAGGTCACTGCTTCTGTCAACTCCAATCCGCCATGGGAGGAAACTTCCTCTTTACAGTGGTGTACCACAAAGCCTCATAACCACCTGAACTCCTGAGACTAAGTGACTATTGTGACATTCTGATCCAATGCTCAATCTCAGATGGAGGAAAATAATCAAACATCTATGTCATCCATCTAAGCCTCAGGGAATGTTCTGGAAGAGGTGGCTTGAAAGAATGTAAGAGCTGTAGGAAGGTTGGAGGTTTTTGTTTTTTTTTTTTTTTTTTTATCAATATCCTCTAAATTGAAACATTTCCATCCTGGAGGGAGGCTCCTTAGTACTCAGGAAATAAACTCACAATTGTCAAGAAGTCCCTGAAACTTAATAGATTCACCAGGTCCAATTCTCCCAAGGTGTTATAGGCAGTATCAAACACTAAGGATAGGAGGTTGAGCAGTTGAGCTGTCTGGAGGAAACTGATCTGATAAGCTGGTTGTGGGTTACTCAGAAAAATCTGGGGCTGTAGCTTTTGTGAGTTATCCCCTATGCTGGTACGGTCTTGCCAGGGGCACATCTGCCTTTGAGTTGCCCATGCTTATGTAAGTCACTCATTGCTCAGGCTTCTGTAAGTTACCCTCATTTATTCATCAAGCTGGACTTTGGTCTGTTGTTGGTGCACTGCCTAGGGTGAATGGATGTTTGTTTTGTGTCTTCCCAGGAAAAATCAAAAACAGCGTGTGAAGATGAACCCGCTGAACCTGAACCTGAACCTGAACCTGAACCTGAACCTGAACCTGAACTGCATCAGAATCTGCCCACAGTCTGGAGAAGGTGTCAATACCCTACTGATCACATCATTGCTAGAGAGATGTCGGTATATGTCTTAGGGTTTCTCTTGCTGTGAAGAGACACCATGACCAGAGCAACTCCTATAAAGGAAGACATTTGATGGGGTGGCTTACAGTTTCAAAGGTTTAGTCCATTATCTCCATGGTGGGACATGATGGTGAGCAAGTAGACTTGGTGCTGTAGTTGAGAATCCTGCATCTTGATTGGCAGGGAAGAGGAAGTGAACTGAAGCACTGGATGAGGCTTGAGCACATATGAGACCTCAAAACCTACCACACTGTGATGCACGTCCTCCAACAAAGCCACACCTACTCCAACAATGACATACCTCCTGATAATGCCTCTCCCTCTGAGCTTATGGGAACAAATTACATTCCAACTACCACAGTATATAACATACTCATTCCAAATTAGTTTAGTAAACAGTCAGCACATGTTTTACTAATAAATAATTAGTAGCAGCTCGTGTTTTGTTTAAAGTTCCTTCATTTTCTCCTAACACAGTAGCCATGTTTTAAAGTATTAACTCTTCTCATTAGTTCTTTTTATGCTCACCTCTCTATCTATCTATCTATCTATCTATCTCTCCATCTGTTCCTGTCACTGAGTCAGAGGGACAGCCTGAGTCATGGAGCTTGGAAAGAAACTTGAGACAAGCGTGCTTGGCTCTGAAGTAGTTGGTCCAATCCCATCTGAGAGTCAGCCTTTCAGAGAACTGAGACAGCATGTGCCTGTATACTTTTTAAATATTATCTGTGCCCAAAGGGCATTTAAAAGAAACATCTAAGAACCCAGAAAGTGATGACATCTGTGTCTTTACAATTAAAAGGTATAAACAAAAGCAAGAATGTTCATGCTTGGTAAGGCAGAAGCCAAGGCAGACAACAGGCATAAGGCAAGGAGGCCCAAGAACATGAAGGCTGTCCTATATCAGAGCCAGCAGGCTTGTAGACTCAGTGCTGCTGCAGGCTCCTATGAGTGGGCCGGTATCTCAATGGCTATTGCCTGAAGGAGCTCCCGCATAATCTTCTCAAATGCCTTTAGCTGTTTGAACTGTGGGCAGGGTCTGTTGACATTCTCTGCTAACATTGTCAAAGGCCAACATTTCTATAATATCTGAGATCAGATTGAAAACCCACCTTTTCATATCACCAAATCCTGAAATGAAGAAATTCAGCAGGTTTAAACAAGTTCTGGCCAACTAGCCCCAGTCATGGGGGATCAGTTGCTGCATTTCAGCTATCCCTCTTAACAATCCCATCATACATGAAGCTGTAGCTGTAAGTGGAGATGGCTTGTTTAAAATCACTGAGGACCTAAGACACAATAGGCTTCTATTCTGCCCACATTCCACTCTTAGAAAAATTATCACCAACTCTGAGTCTAAAGGGTTAGAAATGTACCGGTATTTCAAAGTGCCACAGATAGGTATGGCTCAAGATCCTCTTGCTTTTGAGCTAACTGAGTCCTAGGGTTAGTGCAGAAACACCAACTGTAGGGATGCAGAGGAATGGATGATTAGCAGAGAACTCTTTACCTTCCGAGTGATCAACAGAGTCAGAAGACTGATCAAGGGAGCCAAAGGAGGAAGGCAGGGCTCCACTCATTGTCTCATTTCCTTCTGAAGGAGCTATCTGCCCTGTGGTGTCTCCTTGTGCCAATAGGGCAGTAGCCATTTGCAATGGCCAGATAGTAAGGTGAAAAAACCACAAGGACAAGACATTGAATGGGATCCCCTAGATTTGCTGAGGAGCCTGTCTACAAACATAAACACCTTCCCATTGCTTCCTGGGCAATGCTCCTGTAACAGAAGTAACAGTATTTGTCTCTATATTCTGACAGGTCATAGAAATCTCGATTTTGTACTTTCTCCTGAAATGCTTTTACCATTGCTTACCATATGCACATATGGCCTGCCCTTTGCTCTGGCATCCAGGAGTGGGACCCTAGCATGCTTTATAATTTTGTTTATACTTTCTTGTTGAATTTTTTAAAAGTTCCCATGTTTTAGTTTCATTCCTTTAATCAAAAAATTCAAACTCTTAAACTATTACACTTACTATTTTGCTATTTGCTTTACCATGAATTTTCTATTTTAAAATTATTAAGAATTTGTGTATAAAAATCAGATCTAAATCAATAAGGATAATATAACCTACTTATGGGGGGCTACTATGTCAAAACTTAAATTCAAATTATGTGCAAATTAGTTAAAATTCTGGAGCTTGGATATGTCACGAGCAATGCCCATGCGTCAAAATAACTTCCTCACAAAGCATCATATTTGATGTCATCGAGTATATTAAAGAATTTGAGCTATGATAGAGCTGAGGGATTTGTGCAGTTCACAGAGACTGACCTAGCACGCCAGAGGTCCTGGATCTGATCCCCTTGGCTATACACCCACAGCAGGGGTGGGGTTGGAGGCGTATCTCCAGTCAGCATTTCAGAGGCTGAAGCAGGAGGACACAGAGATGTTGCTCTAACCATCTCCTCAGCCTTCCTGGAAACTACAGCTCATAAAAAAATAAAGGTACATGTTTGTTCTTTTAGCTCGTTTATTTGTCTTGTTTCGTTTGACATACGGTCTTTCACCATAGCTCCTGTAATTCATGATGTGGACCAGACTGGCCTCACACTCACAGACATCAGTCTGCTTTGGCATCCCCATTGCTGGGAATAAAGGTGTGGCCACCATGCCTGACTCTACAAGCTTTATTCATTTGTCCTTCGATTTCTTTTTTAATTTAATTTTTTTTGCTTTTTATGTCTATGAGTTTTTTGTGTATATTTGTGGACCATGTGCCTGCCTGGTACCTTCAAGGACAAGAAGAATGTGATGATGAAGATTATGTTTAGAGGATAATTTGAGGCATCCTGGGCAATATAGCCAGCCTTTGTCTCAAACACAGAAAGAAACCTACACCCGGGCTGGGGTTGTCCAGTTCAAATATCAGAGCAGAGTAGGGAATTGATGGGGGAGAGTCTTCTGGCTTGTGTTAATTTCATTAGTTAAATAAAGAGACTGCCTTGGCCCTTTAATAGGACATAAAATTAGGTAGGCGGAGTAAACAGAACAGAATGCTGGGAGAAAGAAGCTGAGTCAAGGAGTCACCATGATTCTCCCACTCCAGACAGATGCAGGTTAAGATCTTCCCTGGTAAGCCACCTCGTGGGCTACACAGATTATTAGAAATTGGTTAGATTAATATGTAAGAGCTAGCCAATAAGAGGCTGGAACTAATGGGCCAGGCAGTGTTTAAAAGAATACAGTTTCCATGTAATTATTTTCGGGGTAAAGCTAGCCGGGTGGCGGGAAGCAGCCCGCTGCTCCTAACACAACAGGGGATAACTTTCCTAAACCAGGATAGGTGAGAATGGGGAAACTGGGAGGCAAACCCTGATCATACATAACAGGGACACTTGTTTGCCGGAATGAGGTGGCTTCACAGTGGGTAAGCACTTACTTTGGACTGAGGGTCTCATGCAGCCTAAACTGGCCTTGAACTGTTTAAAAGGCCTTGAGCTCCTGTTCCTCCTGCTGTAGCCTCCCAAGTTCTAGGAGGACAGGGTGCACCGCTATGCCCAGCTTCAGAGTTACCTCCCACAGTGTCTGCAAACAATCAAGATTCCAGGAATAAGCGCATAGCATTAAACCAAGCCTCCATCCCTGGGGGTCTTGAGGTCCTCTCATAAGCAGTAAGAGCTACTCGGGATGATGAAAGCTGTGCCACGGATTACTCTAGGGAGGAAAGTCTCATTGAATTTACCTCAACTTCCAAAGTTCTTGGACCAAGACTGCTCTTTACATCCATTTTTCCCCCATTAATAGTAATGTTTATAACTAGTATGTCATGATTTTATGATGTATAGATATATAAAGGGAGTGTTTGATAATGTTCTTTGGCCACTAAGAGTCTTACTGGACCAAGAAAAGTATGAAAACATTCAAACCTGCCAATATATCAAATTGAGAACAAGAATGGAAATGTGGAGACATAACCACCAAATACCCCAATTCTGCTAGACCTGCATGTATGCAAATCCAGGTCTAGGCCCTTGATCTTAGTACAGTGATAATCCAAGAATGGACACTTGCATGTGAGTATGAATGAGCTCATGAGATGTCAGCCATGCGTTGAACGGTTTGTTCCTCTCCCATGTGATATTGTCTATGCCCTGTATTGTATATATGTACTTCTTGTGTTCATTAGCTAAATGAAGACGCTTCTCATTCACTGCATATTTGTAGCCCTCATGGACTTTGAGCAAAATGAGCATCTCTAGGAGAAAGGGACCCTCATGATAAAGCAAAAGTGTTTCCTTGGACAATCGATGTCTTTCTTTTTCAGTGCCCAGGATTGAGCCCAGAGCTTTGCACACACTAGCATTACAATACACCCCAACTGGTGATTATATTTGATCAACTATTTACTGTATCCCCTCGTTGCACACTCACAGTGAACAGTAGCATAGTAAAAACTCTGAGAACGACCTGTAGTGAAGAAACTTGCTTAGCATTTCTGTGTTCAACATTTCCCAAACATATTTGGAAATTAAGTGTAGTAGGAGCTGCCTGGCTAGCTTATGCCCAGAAATAACAACACACAAATTGTATTCTTTTAAACACTGCCTGGCCCATTATATCTAGCCTCTTCTTGGCTAACTCTCACATCTTGCTTAACCCATTTCTAATAATCTGTGTTGCACCGTGAGGTGGTGGCTTTCCCGGGAAAGATTCAGCATGTCTGACCTGGTGGGTAGCTCCATTGCATCTGACCTCGAGAGGAGAGGCATGGCATCTGGCTCACTTCCCTTCTTCCCAGCATTCTGTTCTGTCTACTCCACCCACCTAAGGGCTGGCCTATCCAATGGACCAAGGCAGTTTCTTTATTAACCAATGAAATCAACACAAAAAGTAGACCCTCCCACATCAATTAAAGACAGCAGGCACATATTGCCCTTGAGCATCAAGTGTTGATTACACAGACTGAAGAAAAGCCAGGTGACACATGTGTTTGAGTAATATAATGAGGCTTTCACAGCATACCTGATATTTACCAATGAATCACATGATTAACCAAAGAGGATATTTTGTACAGAGGTTATCTATTGTAAATAAAAAAATAAAATACTAACAAAAGATAAAAAATGTATTATGATATTATCAATAAATAATTGTAAATATGCAAGAGAAAACTTAATGCTAGTCAGTACACTTTACATTTCTTTTGCATGCTTTTCCTCTTTACACTGACTTACACTGACAGCTTTGCCCAAGTTTTGTGAAATTGGGCAGTCTGTGGTTTCCCAACATGGTAAGAAGAGGCCAGGGACCTGAGCTAGGGTTGGGTAAGGAGGCTGATGGAAAAACATTTCATCATGTGATGCTGAATTGAGTCATGCCTCAACTTTGAGCCCCACTGCTGGCCAGCTTCCAGGCACAGAGCATCTCAGCAGGGCCAGGCATGAGTCTGGGTCCTCAGAGGGAGTAAGCCTGAGCCAGGACCTCTGTGGGTTTCAGGCATTGGTCTGGGACATCAAAGGGAATAGGGAGGAACCTGGAACCTCTGCAGGTCAGAGCATGAGTCTGGGACCTCAGAGAGAGTAAGCAGGTTCTCTGCGATTCCAGGGACAGCCAAGCCTGGACCTCCGAGGCAGTAAACCAGAGCCAGAGGCCTTTCCAGGTCCAACTCCAACTCAGGGACTTCTGCAGGAGGGATTCCAGACCAGGATTTAGAGAAACAGGGCAAATCCGGCCACCTAGGCCAAAGTAGGCCTGAGACAGCAAACTGCAAGAAAGCAGAGCAAAGCACAGGAGCACTGAGCTGTCTCCAGGAACACAGAGTAACCAACAGGGTAACTAGAACTGTGACACTGACTGTACCATGAAGAACAGCCATCTGAGCTTTGGATTCACTGGCACCTAGAAGATTATGCAACAGAATCTCAGCCCCAACCACACCTATTAGAGGAAAAGATGAGTAGAAAAGGTAAGATCACACACTACACCACAAAGAGCAACACAACACCAGTAAAACCTAAAGACCCTAAAACAGTAAGACCTGAACAACCAAACATGGATGAAGCAGAAGAAAATGACCTAAAAATAACTTCAAGAGAATGTTTGAAACTCTAAAAGAGGAAATGAGAAATTCCCTTAAAGAAATGGAGGAAAAGGGAAACAAAAAAATTGAAAGACATTGGCAAATCACTTAAAGAAAACCAATAAAGAGAAATCAAACCTATGAAGGAAATGATTCAGGACTTGAAAACGGAAATAGAGGCAATAAAGAAAACATATACTGGGGGAATTATAGAAACAGAAATCATGAGAAAACAATCAGGAACCACAAACACAAGCATGAACAGCAGAATACAAGAAATGGAAGAGAGAATCTCAAGCACTGAAGATACAATAGAGGAAATAGACTCATCAGCTAAAGAAAACATTAAATCTAACAAGTGCTTTGACCAAAATATTCAGGAAATATGGGACACCATGAAAAGGCCAAACCTAAAAATAATAGGTATAGAAGAAGGAGAAGTTCAACTCAAAAGCACAGAAAAAATATTTAACAAAATCATAGAAGAAAGCTTCCCCAAAATATGCCTATGAAGATTCAAGTCTTCCTGTTGTGTGTTTGCTGGATTCTGGTGTTGTCATGTTGCTTTTCAGGTTGTTGGAGGAATTTTTGCATTGGCACCTGCCCATCTCTTCCTTCAGATGCGGACAGGAGAGTCTTGGTGTCTTGGTCCAATCTTTGCTGTGGCTGACTGTGTACTTGGGAGTCTTTCTTGGTCTGCCCTCTCTAGGACCCCTCAGCACTGGAGTTTTTCCTCAGATCCTCTCCATCCTGGAGTAGGCTGTAGTGGTGGATCTAAGGACCTGGCAGATGAACAGGAGTGCTTGGTGGCAAGATGGAATGGAGCAAATAGAGAAAGCCAGTAGCCACGGGGAAGCCAGTAGCCACGGGGAAGCCAGTAGCCACGCTGAATGGCCAGAAAGTTGAAGAAATTGGAGGGGGCCTGTACTCTGTTTCGGGACTATCTGGGCAGGTGGGCACACACTCAACCCTCTCGATGAATCTCCTCAGTACAGGAGCAGAGCCTCTTGCTGGGCCAAGGACCTCACAGACAAAAGGGTAAGCTTTGGGGGAAGAGGGTAGTGTGGAACAAAGAAGCCCCTGTGACAGGAGCACTCACCACTGGCTCCCCAGCCCCTCGGCTGAGACCTCTGATATTAAGAGCCTCACTGGGACTTCTTTTTGTTATCCTACTGTTGCTCTGTGTTGTAGGAATTTGCACAGACTGTTCCCCACTGTGTCCTTAATGTCAGATTCCCAACCTAATCCCCTGTGCAGAGAAAGGGAATCAAATCCTTTTGGGCTGGAGTTTAGCAGGAGAGTGATTAGCTGGAATGCACTAAGCCCTGGGTCTGTCTCCAGCACTGTGGAAAAACAGTTTTGGGTGCATCCACACATAATATCATCATTCAGGGGTTAGAAACAGGCATCAAGAGTTCAAGGTCATCATTATCTACATAGTAAAATTTAGGGCTTGGGCTACA